TGAAGTCTTGAATATGCAATAGATTATTCCAATCGTATTTTTGTACCAACTTATCAAGTCGTGCGCGATCAATTATTTCTATATTTTGTGTTACAGCCGTCGGCGGCCTAAGAGTGAGCTGTGATACACGATGGCAAGCCACATAGTAAAGGTCAGCAAGCTTCTCCTCTATTATGGCCGATTTTGTTGTTACGTTCTGAGCGCGTACATTGATATGGTCTAGGCATGATTTGACAATATGATCACCTAAATGTTCTTCTCGTGTGGGGCCAAGAATCAAACACTCCAGACCGAAATGTGCCAATAAATTCAGATAGTCACACACAAGAGACTTGACTGGCTTAAGCGTGTCGATGTTGAAGTCGCCTACCAAACAGATGTCATTCATGGATTGAAAAGTTTGAAACTTATTTCTGAGCTCTTCCAAAAATTTCAAAGGATGAGCCGAAGGAGGTTTGGAGAAGGCTAGCAAAAGTAAAGACCATTTAAAATTCCATATCCTTATAAAGAGTGTCTCACAATTAACGAACTCGACATCAAGCTTTTCAGTACCCCACGAATCTCTCACAAAGATAGCAATTCCTCCTCCTCGGCCAAACGAACGCGTGAAAAAGTGTGCATTATACCCTGGTATTTGGAATTCATCACAGGAAACGTCTTTGACATTAATCTCTGTAAGGACAAAAACATCAAATATTGTCGTTGCATTTTTGACAGTTAGTGTAAACTCATCCCAATATTTTCGAATACTCCAGATGTTAACACGTAATAAACCAAAAGTGCTATCACTGACTGTATCAAAGAAACGTTGAAGAGATAAAAAGTCTGAGGAGTTAGAAAACAGTACCTCCATAATTCGATGTTGTTGTCATCCGATACCAATTGTTATCTGTCGGTTTGGCAAGAGAAGAGCTAAACAAACTTCTCCAGGTGAGCAAACCGATGGATCCGTACTGCAGGAGAGGATTCTGTTTTCTTTGCAAACAGTTTACCATTCTTCACCCATGTGAATTTGCAATGCATGTCTCTTACTTTCTCACGTAACTTCCAAAAGAGCTCCTTGTTTCTGCGGGTGAGGTTTTCGTTGAAGAAGAGTTTGGGTAAAGACCCGGTTTCTGAAAGAGGCCGCAGCTTTTTTCTTGTGGAAAGCCACTGATCTCTAAGCGCTGCCGTAGAGAATCTGACCAGTATAGGTGGAGGGATGTCACGTCGAGATGGTAGGCGGTGCATGGTCACAATGTCACTTCGTTGGAAGTCAGCTAGGCCGAGCTTACTGGCCAGCTCATTGACAACGGTGATCAAGTTCTCATTTGAGGAACAAGGCAGCCCATGTCTTTCGAGAATTGAATGTCGGCTATACTGATCACTGTCATTTAACTCGTTCTGGAGGTGTTCAATGGTCTTAGACTGCTCCGTAACTATCTCTCTCAGTGATGTTGTCTCGTTCCGGAGTTCTGTCACTGATGATGCGTTAGCGGTAGCTGTCCAGAGCACAGAGTCGTAGCTCTCCGACAGGAAGTCAACCGACTTTTGAATCTCTGTTAGTGAAGATTTCAGGTTCTCGACTACAGGTTTCAATGTCAAGAGCTGGTCTATTTTGGCTGGTAACGAAAGGAGGCTGTCGACGTTGGCCTTGAGGGACGTTAGGCAATCTAGTTTTGACTCCAGCAATCGAAAGTGCTCGCCGGTCACGGGAGATTCACATTGTGACAAGCCCGTCTCAGATTGAGAACCGGGCTCTCTACTGTGCTCTCGGCACCGACGGCAGCGCCGAATCTCCCTCTTTGCAGCCCCCATGGTTTTAAAGGTACTGTCTGCAATTCCAGAGCAAAGCTTTCCTACATGGTACGAGTTCTTGCAATCGACGCAGAACATGTGTCGACCATCATTGATGGTCTTTTCTCGGCAATTAGCACACTTAGATGAAGAAGACATGGCAGTAGAGGCTAGACCAAGCGGTGAGAAATACCTTGCCGTCTTGTCACGCCGACTGTCCTGATGTGTGCACTCGGCTCGAGAAAAGCGTCGGGCTGAGAAAGGTGGTGTAAAGCAGCCGATGAAATCCAGTCAGGTCGACGCTTGGAAGGCTTGCGCTCCGAGTCAACAACCGATTGGAACGATGGAGACCTGGTGCAGATCAAAGACCGTGAAAGTAAAGACTCCAGGATTTGGCGTTCGCAGCGGACTGGTTGCCGGTGTTAGCGGAGCTTGGAATATTTGATCAGTACTGAAAATATTAAGAGCAATCGAGAAGAACGATTGCTCTCGGGGACTTCTTCTTCTTCTAAATAATAATAATAATAATAATAATATTAATAATTAATAATAATATTAGGAATAAAATTATTATTTCTTTATTTTTGGTGGCCACAAACGAATTTTCAGTCTTCACAGTCATGCACGCAATATAGCAAGAACGGCCAAATCAGGCTAAAAGACAACACAAATCGTCTTGCCATATTTAGGCGGTAGACATTCATTCGCGAACAAGCAAGGTAAAATTCGTACGCTACATGAAAATATCCAGATGTTCTTTCTTATTGAAGGCCAACTGAATCCGGGACAAAGGGGACATGAAAGGCGGATAAAACATTGATGAATTACGACTGACTCTTGACGAAACATGGAAGTCTGGATCGTAATAGATTCATCGAATTAACATAGCCATGGACAACTTTGTGAATAAATATAAATCTCTAAACTACCTCGTCACGGCAGGCTTATATAAAGCGAATCGTATAAGTAATGTTTCATAATGTAAAAAAAAAATCGGTCAATATAGTTGTTGTTTGCTATTAATATCATTCATTTATGCACGTTTCCGACGGCAGTTCCTGTGATATAAATAAAGAATTACAGATGACCCAACCGAATTTGAACAGTGATCTAACTTGTGACTTAAACAAATGCAACACACAGAATGGAGATGGAGATTGGCGACAACTCTCAAGAAATTACACCCAGCATTCTAAAGGCAATATTAACGGTTATGAACACGTGTTCATTGAAAATCAGTGCACTACCATAATGAACACCAAGATCCATGATAACAGATACGCGGGAAAACGAGGCGCTTTCAAGGATGTAAGAAAAACTAATGACTTCACGCTTTCTAGATAGCACAATAAGTTTAGATTTCTCGGGGTTAAGCGTCAAGCAGTTTTTGATGCACCAATTCGAAACATATTCTATATCAAGTTGATGGCAAGTGCAATCTAGCAGCGACTTCCAACTTAGAAACAGATTAACATCATCGGCAAAGAGAATAATTTTTTGCATACCTAACACAGGAAACAATATCTATTATTAATGAAAGAAATAAAATCGGCCCTATGATGGAGCCCTGAGGCACTCCAGGTTTCGAAACAAACTCGTCAAAGTAGCTACTATCAACCCGAGAAGAGTTGCGACGATCATCTAGATAACTAGAAAAACATGCACACATTTGTGCCAATCTAAAGCGAGTTTTTGAAGTAGCAAATCATGATTAACACGGTTGAACTCTTTCGACATGTCGAAAGCAATACCGTTCACCTTTTCCTAACTGAAAAGAATTGGAGCTGAGAAATTTAAAAAAGGAGCGTCAGTTAGATTGAACTGACCTTTCCTTTACAAATCCGTGTTACATCAGATATAATTGTACTTAAATAGGAGTAAATACGCTTATGTATACTTTTCCAAATACCTCGAAATAAAATAGATAGATTACTAACTGAGAAATGCGATTAATATCTAAAAATTTCGTTTGTGGGGACATAACATATTTTAAACTTCAACGCTCAACCTCATTATAGATGTTAAAGTACGAGTTAAAAATTCGCAGTGCGTGCATAAGGGTGACAGATGAAACCCTCGTACCGGTCTTCAAATTCAAGCTAATCGGAAGAGGAGAGTCAGAAATGTCGGCCCCTCCGCCGTCCACCGGCTCCAGAAGCGAAGCCAGTCGCAATTAGGGTCGCACTTTGCCCGCTTAGGTGCGGTTTGAAGCCGTGTTGCAGGGCGACTGTTCTCACCCAGTATGGCACATTAAAACTTTTTCAACCGATGTTTCAAGACTAGACTAGGCTATTTGACATCAAGCGCCAATTCTTGACACACATTATTCTCTCAGACACGCAAAAAAAAAAGTAAACTGGAACTTTAGAGTTAACTAGCTGACAAATGAACTAATTTTGCCTCTTTGCAAGCGGCCTACAGACCACCAAATTGGCCTCGAGGCTATCAGAAACCTAACACAATTTCCCTCTTTTTTTTTTTTTGAAACAACATCAAAGAAAGTTTATGGTGTTATCGAACTTTCCAGCGCTTACCATACAGGCAAAATATTCTCAGCCACTTTGCTGTGGACGCACGCGCCGCGCCCTATATCTCCCCCCCCCCCCCCCCCCAAGAAAAAAAGTTATGGCGCATGCTTAGAATGGGTTCCACAGCCATGTTTTAAATATATGACTGCACGAGGGCGAATCCCGAAATGATCTATACATAAAAATGAAGATGTCAACACTTCTATAGGATATTTACACTTTTATTACAGTAGTGAGTCTTGGTTCTGTGAAACGAAAATGTTTTGTATCGTATCCTTCCGACAGCAGATCAACTTTCAAGGGAATATTTGCTGGTGATAAAGGTAGTCCTGAAATAAATAAAGTGGTACAATTAAGATATGTCAGATCACGCAATATGTTTTGGTAAAAACAAAAATTCCTGCATAAGGGTGTCACGTTGTCATGCTATATGTTCGTGACAAAGCAATTGAAACGCTTTCATTTCAGGCCCGCATATTAAAAGTAGCATAAAAAACGAAAAAAAAACAGGATGACGTTTGTAGGCGACTCAGTTTGAACTGCACTGAATTCTAGATTTAAGAGATATAACCCAACCACACGTACAATATTCTTAGAAAACTATATATATTGACTCTTTCCCATCTTCGTTGCATGAAATATCAGTAAAAGCATAGTTATTCATTTTACTAGAGTATAAACGCCTAATCTCACCAGAATAGTAATCTATCTCTATCCAAAGAAGCCACCGCCGAGACCGCCGTAGTGTCCACCGTAGGATCCACCGTAGGATCCACCGTAACTTCCTCCGTAGTTGCCACCAAAGCCGTGCCCGAAGCCGCCGTGGCCACCGAGGCCGTAGCCTCCGAGGCCGTGGCCACCGAGGCCGTAGCCTCCGAGGCCGTGGCCTCCGAGGCCGTAGCCTCCGATGCCGTGGCCCAAACCGAAGCCTCCGGCAGCGGCGACGGCGAGAACAACGCAGAAGGCGGCGAGGGAAAGCTACGACAAGAACAAGAAGTAATTTGTAATATGTTAATTTCACAAAACAAAAAAAGAATTGTTGTGGCGACCACATTACTGATCTGAACGCGATCGTTAATACGGAATTTCAAATTAGCTTTGTGATATGGGTATGACAATGTAGTCAGCAGATGGGAACATTCGGTAAGCGACTAAACCCAGAAATGAATAAGTAACTGACCAGTGTTCACGAGTGTTTTAATTTAAGAAGTTGAAAAAACTGCCCTTCGGTTAAGTAAAATCGATTATGAATACTTAATTTTTAATTTTTTTTTTTTTGCGATATGCTATTCTCAGGAGAGCTTCAAGCATGCGTTTGAATAGTCGGTTCCCAACACAAGTTTAAAGATATGAAATGCAAAGGTTTCGAGAGTTCAAGTGATGTTCTAAATGATTATAAAACATAGGCTTACTTTTTGCAAGGCCTCAGGATAAGGTGGCCAAGAAAGTGGCTACTGTCATCGTAAAATAGATGCCTGTTTTATCTTCTTCTGGAGGGAGGTGTTGCTTCGGGCGCACTACCGTAATATAAATGAGGCTCAAAATAGGCAGCTAATTTCCTCTTGAGAAATTGCGTTTTCGTGACAAATGACCACGCTGAACTTTATGATACAAGTGAATATGTAATTAGTTGTAAAATATAAATTTATAATTACAATGATAAAATCAAATCTTAGTTACTATGTTAATCAGGAGTATGAATAACCTTGCTTAAGACTTTGTTAATTATCTGCTTGCAATACGAATCCTAAGATAAACGTGAACAAAAATAGAAAAGCTAATATCCTAATATATGTGGAGTAAAATATTAGTTATGACTTACAGCAGTCTTCATGATGTGGGACGGTAAGGCAAGTCCGTTTCGGGCGATTTCGGATTTGGAAGTGATGAATCCTAAGACCTGGGGAGTTTATATATCTTATCGAGAAGGGGGAAAGTACGCTCACAAGCGAGGCTATTTTTTTTTTATTCTTTAGCACACGCGAACGCTGCACCGAGGTTTAACTGTGATTGGCCGAACCAGCGTTTTTTTTACTCGTAGATTCGGTTCTCTCATTCACGTTTGCTTTATAAAACCAGAGCATTGAATTAAGCTCGAAAATCGCAGTGTAAAATAATTTGTTTTTGGATCACGTATGCCCTGAAAGAATGTTATCGCTGGGAATGCGTAATGACAACATAAAAAATCACGTTTTAGAGTAGACTTTCGACATCTCGGCACTTCAAAACGTGCAAATAATTATTCTAAAATTTTTCTTTTTTATTATTAGCAGTGTACCGTTTTATCCGTATTAAGTACACGGCTATCAGAGAAGAGTCTAATAAGTAAAAGTAGGCTGATGTCTTCTGTTTCAAATAGCTCATGCCTAGTTCTGGGCATTTAATCGACTAACCCACCGATTAATCGATTAATGCTTAAACCACGAGTAATATTTTTAAACCAGTTATTGAGCTAAATTTTGACGAACACAAAAACTAAAAATGGAACGCATTCACCACGGAGACGTGAACGAGTACACCGGTAAAAAGGCAAACTTTAGTTGAAGTGTTGACCTAAAGTAAACTGTAGGGGGACATCCGTAACTCCATAAGAGTGAGGAAGGTTTAGCTGTACCGGCCACCTCAACCTGTACTAGTGTCCGCTTAGCGCAGCAGAGAATAATATCAACAATCAAAAGAGTTCGATATTGACGAACGCCTTTGCCTTTGCGGCTGAAGGAATCAATTTTGAGTGTGAGCGTCTTTTCACTGTTTTCATGTATGCATAAAGCTTGTTTGAAAATCCGAAATTTTACATTGAGCCGTTTATCACGTATTCAGCAAAAGCAAAACATTTAATTTTGAATAAAAACTATCATGTGCGGGAATGAACGAAACTGATTCATCAATTAATTAGTCGATTAAAGGGTGTCGATTAATGGGAGTAATATTTTAAGCGACGCTCAACCCTAATTGAAGTGTATTCATATGTGGTTTCTCCAGAAAAAACTAACATAATTTCTTCATCATACGCAACTGCAGGTACTTCGATCGAACTTTTAAATGAGGCCATATATTTGGAATCCATTTTTTTTGTTGAAGGTGTAATAAATGTTGATCGTATTTTTAGTCTAGCTCCTCCTTTTTTAAATATAACTTGTATTGCTCTCGCGTGCGTTCTGTTGTACGTTATGCAAGTTCAATTTGGGATCCCTCCTGACAAAACATGAATGAACGGACTGAAAGAAAATCCAAATTGTGTGGCTAGATTTCTTGGATGTCCACATACATTTTAGAGCCTGCTTATGTACGTTACATGAGAAATAAATTAAAACAAATCGACAATTTAAATGCAGGACAGAGGTTTTAAAGTTTTCTTGCACGATCCATCGAGAAATGAAATAAGCTACCGTGTGAAATTCTGGATACCATTTTGCTAGAGTTATTCTTTAAAATATTTCAAAGGTGCGCGAGGTTTTTTTTTTCTCTTTCCCTTTACTCCTCGCGTAGTACTTGATAAATAATACGCAAAACCACCCGAACCTCGTAAACTATCGAGAACCTTCTGTTAAGAGTGTAGTGCTATTGAGTGTTAATTAAATGATTCCTTAAGCCTGCACGTGTATCGTGATTGATCGACAAGGTAACGCACGTAGCACTCAAGCGGAGCCATTCTGGGCTCTATATACAGCTGTTTATTTTTATGCGTTTCCGTCTTTCGTTCGTGTAATTTTAGCCGATATATCTGGCGGGCTCGGTGCTTTGAAGGTAATGCGCTGGCCCCCTGTTGGCGGATTCGAGCTCAGTCCGGAGTGCCCGCTTTTTGACAGGGGCTTCTTCTGGAGAGGTAGCATTGTAACCGAGGTTTTCGTCACTCTTCCGACATACAATAATGCGATTAGATAGGCCAGTTTGTAGATTGCAAAGGGTATAAAGCGCCGAAAAAACACGGACTGAGACAAGATGTCCTTGTCTCGGTTCGTGTTTTTTCGGCGCTTTATACCCTTCGCTTTCGAAACTTCACCCGTGGTTGAAATTAATCTGAAGTTTTTCGCTAGGGCATGGTAGATGACCCTCGCTTGTTTTGACAGTCCTAAATTTAATCTTTTTCGAAACCTATGTCTTTCACACAGTAAAAAACAATAATAGTAGAATAATCATTATTGATTTATTATCTTCTGCAGCATTGCTGCAGTTATGTGAGGTCGAAAAGGCTCTGAACCGACGATGAAAATGAACAGTCTTCGACCGGCATTTGCAATTGCGTTTCACCCGCTACTGCAGAGAGTTCCGCCGTTTTTTATAATAAAATTCGCAAGAGATCGAACTGGATCTTCAAAAAACAAAACACCTTTGCAACCTTTTTGCGAAAGTGGTTAAGTCGCCAGTGTCCATGCGGGTTAGCGTGTTTCGATGCACCCTAACTTTGGCAGGACGCTAGGCACGGAAATCCGCTGGAATACAAAAAATGACTAAAATCATCATTTTAATTTTTGGAACGTGGTCATGTGCTAATCTTTTAAGGATGCAGCAACCTATTGAGAGCACTCAGGTAGTGGTGTTTCGTTTTAGAGCGCAGCTCTTAGGCCCCCGTTTCTGGGTTTCGTGGCTTCGGCGTCGGCGTCGGCGTAACAGCGCTAAATTTAGCAGAAAAACTGACGTCACGTGGGCTCAACACCAATTCAAGTTCCCGCTAAATTTAGTGGGGAGAAGGCCGTCCTGTGACTTGGTGTCACATCACCTATAAACAAATTCAGTTTCCACGCTAGATTTAAAGGGCAAACTCGTTTTTTTGTTTTTTTATAAGCGTTACAGATTTGGTAAAATGAGCCGTGAAAGTTACACTTATGCTGTTTGTGCAGGTTAGTTATACTGCCAGGCGAACATCATGTTGGTGGCAAATCTTTGCAATAAGTCGGCAATTTATTTTTAAAAAAATAATTTACTTTTTAATTAGTGAAAATATACATATGGTTTCAATTAGAAACTTACTGAGGGTAATTGAAAACCACTAAATCAACTCTTTTTAGAACGACTTGAAGCGCGTGGGAAACTCGGGGGCGCACCAAATTTACCCCTCATGCAGCTGGCGCAGAGCTAGCAGTGGCTAAACGCGACGAGGTAGAGGGGATTAGCACGAGAAACTGGTATCTCGTTCACTAGGCAAAAGTGAATCCCACTTGGCTGCCCCCATGTTGTTTACCACTAGACACATGACCGTACCAAATCCTGAGGCTTTTAAGCGAAACTGAGCCAAGGTTTGTGTTGCTATTGCTGTAAAAAGAACATGATAAACTATTATTCAACACTGTTAGCCGCAGAGATCAGTGTCTAGCTTCGATAAAAACTCAGAATACAGCACCGCTGCTGACGGCATCTAGCGGAAGCATTGCGAAGGTGCCCGAGTTTGTGTCGTAAAAGCACATTTTGGATTTAAAACAAACTAAACATAACTTATCTCGTCACTACAGTTATGAAGATCCAGAAGCAATTATTTGTGCGCGATACTTCGGTAAAATCTAGACGCAAAACTATGAAGTCATGGGTCTAGTGTTAAAAACTGTGCGATATGGCGGCGGCCAATTGCTGATCACTTTCAGCTGCCCATTTATCGCTCTAAGGCTTTCTACCTCGTTACAAAACGCGGATGAATAGATTATCATCGCGTTCCGGCACTGCTTCACTCTAAGAAATGCCTGCGCGTCTACGTACCCGCAATACACTCGAAGAGCCTGTCTGCGATCTACGAAATATATAAATAAAAACATATATATGTATTTTTTTATGTGAATGTTATTAAATATCCTTCTTCATCAAGCATAAACAACTGCAAATTATAGGCATAATCGTTTAGCTTCTATTTAAAACCCAAAATTTATTTTATGCCGTTTTCTGAACTATGTACAGAAAAAAAATAATAACATAACACTTGAACGTTTCACGGCGGCCTTCGCACAGGTATTATTTAAACTTTATAACTAAATACAGTGCCTGGCAGAACTAATGCCGATAAATAC